ACACACACACAAGCACACACACACGCACATGAAAAATAAAAAGGAAAAAAAAAACATAAAAAATACAAAATCAATCAATCAATCAATCAATCAATTAATCAAGCAAGCAAGCAAGCAAGCAAGCAAGATGTTGATTGATTGATTGATTGATTGATGGATTGATTGTTGGTTTGATTGTTTGATTGACTGACGGTTTGGGCCATTTTCTTGATTGATTGATTGATTGTTTGATTGATTGTTTGTTTTATTTTGTGTTGGTGCAGGCGACATCCCCGACCGATCAGCGTCGCCGGCGGATCTCGTTGACCAGTGCCTAAGGACGGGGGTTCAACGGGAGCAAACGGAGTTTCAACGAGGTTTCAATGGGGTTTCAAAGGGGTTTCAACGGGGTTTCAATGGGGTTTCAACGGGGTCCGGAATTTGCAACGGGGTTTCAACGGGGAGAAACAAGGCGGGTGTTACCTTGTTGGGACGGGGCAGGCCAGGAATACGTCCTTCTCTGTGGCGCCGCTGGGCACGAGGTATCGGAGGGGAGGCGCTTACGACCGGACGGGCGCGGCTTTGAGGGGGGTTCACAATGCCGCGAAAACAGACGCGCGAACATGAGCCCGCGCCCGAACAAGTGCAGCAGGATTATACGCGCAAATCTGTTGTGAACCGTTACATTGTTGTCGGCCAGAAGGTCGACAACAGGGGGGTTAATATGCTACGGTGCACCTTCTGCAATAAGGTGTTTCAGGGAACCCAATTCTACGCAACGAAACACTTCACCCAATAGAATTATTGCAAGAAGGTGTCCGATGATGCATTGTACCAGATTGCGCAGAAATGCACACACCGCTTCGAGGCCGATCAGGTAGAGAGGGTGCGGCGGTTCTCACACGAGCGTGGTCTCGATGTCCCGCGGTCGGGTGCGATGGGTGGCGAGGCGGAGCGTCCTGCACAGGGCGTGGGCGAGGGAGAGGATACCGAGCGTTATGCAGAGGGAGGTGTTGCGAGATATGGGGAGGGTGCGGGTGCCGCGGAGGAGGACAAGGCACACGTTGACCTTGAGGTTGGCGTGGTCGAGGAGGAGCGGACACCGAGGGGAGAGGGGGGCGTGCCGAAGTCCGATCCAATGGCTCATCAGAGGGCGGTGGACTGGGAGTGGAGGTGCGGGAAGAAGGCCGTCCCGCCTGAGACGACAACCACGCCGAGTTCCTCGAAGAGTGTTGTTCCTGATAGAGCAAGCACGCCGGGTTCTTCGAAGAGGAAGGAGGGGGGTGCACAGCTTTCTGGCACCAGTGCAGGGAAGAGGCTGCGGCAACAGAAAATGACGGACACGTATGGTGGTGAGTGGATTGGTGAGTGGAGGAAGGCATTCTTTCGCTGGGTGTATTCCAGTGGGATTGCCTTCAATGCCTTCCGCAACACGCCATACCGGGACCTCCAGCAGGTTGCTCTTCGGCAACCTGGTGGAGCACCTCTTCCCGTGCTTCCATCCCACAGCGAGATCGCAGACATGCGAACAGTGGAGATCCACCGCGAGCAGTTGGCGGAGGAGTTGGAGGAGGTTAGGCAACCATTATGGGTGAGTGGCGCCACCCTTCTCTCTGACGGGAGGAAGTCACGAGATGGGCGACCGATCGTGAACTTCCTCGCAGCTGGGTCTCGAGGGGTCGTCATGTACACGACGATCAACCGAGAGGGGGAGCCGGACGATGCGGTGCACGTCCTGCAGAGATGGGTCGCCATCTTTCATGATTTCAGATTCGGTGGCCCACAGCGGGTCAATGCTATATGCACTGATTCCGCCTCTGCATATGTGGGGGCTGCGAGGGCTTTGGCCTCGCCATCTATGCCCCCTGAGCTGAGGAGGATCACTTGGCTCCCGTGTTGCGTCCATGTCTGCAACAAGTTGTTGTCAGACATTGGCACGATCTGCACCTCTTTCGTGGACACGATCACGCATGCCCGAGTTCTGGTGGTGTTTTTCAAAACCCACCAGGCCGCTCTCAACTTCTTTCGGAAGCGGAGCGCAGCGTTGGGCCTCTTGCTTTCATGCGAGACGCGCTTTGCGTCCGTGTACTCCATGTTGGAGAGGTTGCTCGCTCTGCAGGATCGTTTGTAGGGCATGATGACAGCGGAGGACGGTCGGGCATGGGCTAGGATCCCGTGGTCCCCCGACTTTTGCGACATGGCGCGTTGGGTGCGCCAACAGATCAGGTGGTCCCCTTGGTGGGAGAGGATGCGTGCCATCAAGCACATCATGGATCCTGTCATGGACTTGCTGAGGCGGATGGACCGTGGCGGGTAGTTCATGTCCCTCGTTGTAAAGTGGACTCGGGATCTTGCACGCCTTGTGCGGGACGCTTGCATTCCTCTTGGCCAGTCCTTTTCTGACCGTATCATGAGGCGTGTGCAGGCCCGTATACAGCACATGCTGGAGCCCGCACACTGCGCCGCGTTCTTACTGAACCCCCGTCGCCGGAATGTTCAGTACTTCTCCGCGCAGCTCGACCGGTACCACACTTGGCTTGTTCGATAAGCCAAGAGGTATCTGTTGTCTCAGACGGGCCACGATGAGTCGGGTGGTCATTACCTTTAGGTATGTCGGCAGTTCGAGGGCTTTCACATGCAGCAGGGTAGGTATGGGTCTTGGGGCGGGGCAGAGGGCCGCGCTCGAGCGCGTAGTTGCAGCGGAGACTGCGAGACGTTGGAGTGTGCGTCGTGGTGGTCTCAGTACGGGGRAGAGGCGCCCGATTTACAGCAGTGCGCTCTTCGTTTGATGCACATGTGGTCCTGCGCCTCTCCAGCGGAGAGGAACTGGGCGGTCCACGAGGGCATCCATACGAAGAAGCGTAATTAGTTGGCCTTCGAGAAGGTCGTTCATCTTGTTGAGATCACCGCAAATGTGCGGTTGATGGAGTATAGACGTGCAGGTTGTGGATACGTCCTCCCTTGGCAGCGAGACAAGGGCATGCTTGACACGCAGGCGGGATTGGACGTGGAGCCTATGCGCTCGGGGATGAGGAGTGGGATGACGGAGGAGGAGATCGAGGAGCAGGCTGCCCTCATTGCGCGCAATCCCATTGGGTGTTCTGCGCCGCCCCCTGTTGAGTCTGTTTTCGGTGCTCGTGCGACTATCTTCTGCCCATACCCCAGGGACGATGACTCTGCGGACGAGAGGGAGTCGGAAACAGCGGACGACCCGATGCTTCCCATCCCGCGTGAGATTGATGAGTTGCACGAGGGGGGCGACATGCGTGACGAGAGGACGCACACCGCGCGGAGGGCGGCAGACCAGCGAGATATAGATATGATAGGGGGCGAGGAGTCTTGGGGATCTTTCGGGGGCACGGAGGAGAGATCACCCACTGCCGCGCGGGAGGATACGCGTCCTTGCATGACCTTGCGGGAGGAGACGCCTGCTCCCATGACTGCGAGTGAGGAGCCGGGTCCTGTCACGACAGTGCGGGAGTGGACGACTATTTCGTCGACCGCGCAGGAGCAGACGCCTGCTCCCACGACCACGCGAGAGCAGACGAGTATTCCCGCTACGCATTTCGGACCCTCGTCCCTGTCGCCTCTTTCGCGTCATTCTATCCCAGGATTCCCAGCATCCGCTCCGCCCGCTCCCGTTCGGCATGACGAGCGCTCACCTGCACCGGTTGGGAGGGAGGACTTGGGATCCTCGTTGCGCAGCCGCGRGCATGGATCATTGTTTAKCGTAGCCCGTCAGCTCGTTTTGGACCCGGGTGCATCGAGCGACTTRGGGGAGATGGGTGTTCATAGCGGGSCACCACCGGTGGAGRAGAGGGAGAGACGAGCGGAGGAGCACGGAGCTGCCGGAGCGGGCGGAGTTGAGGGTATTCGGGGTATGGAGGAGGAGGTAGCTGGAGTAGTGGGGGGCGTGGTGGAGGTAGATGATGGTGCGCACGTCGAGAGAGAGGAGGGCGTGTTGCCATCGGAGGTTGAGAGAGAGGACGATGTGGTGAGGATGCAGGAGGCGACGATGAGGGATGATGAGGGAGAGGAGGCTGTGGCAGGGGTAGACGAGAGCGTGGCTGGGGTAGATGATGGTGCTGCCCAGGTTGAGATGGAGGAGGATGTGGTGAGGGCAGATGCTGCTRYGTTGGTTGGGGGAGAGGAGGGTGTGGTAGGGGGGGACGTCGCCCATGKTACAGGAGAGGGAGGCGCCCACSTTGACCCGATCGTCCAGCRTTTCGTYGATGACGAGAYGGGTCCCGCACTAGCGGGTTTGACCCYGGGCACGAGGAGGGCACTGGGGGCGTYGCCATCAGGACAGAGGGGGSCGTCAGGGCTGGGGATGGGGGATTTCATGGACATRTCTTTGGGGGATCCGCCCACCCCTGCTCACGCAGAGAGAGAGGATGTGGCGCGTGCCCTAGCGGCCGCTGGGTACTCCACACAGGAGATYGAGYASGCATWTGCAGGACRCTCYRGGAGAGAGACAGACTCGCWTCAGCAGGGGTGCGAGGAGGTAGTAGARCAGSCACAGGAGGAGCGTGAGGATGCACCCCCTGCGGATATCCACGGAGGTAGTAGTTCGTTGGTACCGTTCACGGGCTTGCAGATGACGACGACGATGCGGCCAGTTTGACCGTGTGTGCAGGGGTCAGGTTCTGGGGAGGAGACATTTGTTCAGGTACCACCGGTCATAGTCGTAGATTTAGGATCTGAGGCAGTTCTTCATACAGCGGTTACTGGGCGGCGAGCTCCTCAGGATACAGCTCGCCCATTGGATTTCGCGGAGCTCGCACGGGCTGTTGTGTGTGACGTGACACGGCGGGAGGACACCGACCCTAGCAGACCACTTATGCCGCCTCCTCCTCCGAGATCACGTCACAGCGATTCCCCCTCGACACCAGTCGGTCGGCCCCCCCGTTCACCATCCACGCCCACCAGACCCAGGGTTCGTGACACGACGGCCGTAGGGAGCCTCCCTCTTGACACGTCGCTATTCGGGAGGACGGATATCGACCTGGAGTCCGTACGTTGGGTCACAGTGCACACTTCACGATAGCAGCCAGGTTTGGGTGGGGATGACACCGGGAGGGGTCCGCCGAGTGAGGTCATGGCGGCAGTATCTCAGCCGCAAGATGTTCGCGGGGTTGGACAGGCTGGATGTACCTTGCAGGCCGCTTTGGCAGCAGCAGCACGTGTTGTGCGTGAGCAGACATCGCGCAGGAGCGGAGTCGCTCGTACGAGTTCCATGCCTCAGATGATGCCTGCCACGGGGGATGCCGCGTTGGAGGAGTCTTCTGGAGCCGAGGGGTTGGAGATGCCGCGCGGTTCTCGTCGTGAGAAGACAGTCGCAGAGGTGACTCAAATGAGTGCTAGGCTTATTCGAGTGAGGACGGGGGTTGCCCATGTGACCGTGGTGGAGGACGATCCCGAGACGGAGCCTGCACGTGAGGAGGCCCCACAGGAGGTTGACGAGTACAGGGACGATGAGGAGCGTGAGGAGGAGGAGAGCGACAGCGGGGATGATGACAGCTACCACGACGACGACGACGAGCCCTCCCCTCCACCGCGGCATGGTTCTCATAGACGACGTGGCTCTCGTAGAGGACATGATGACGTAGACGACCCGTCCCCTCCAGGGCGGCGGGAGACGAGGAGTCAGAGGAGGTGAGGGTCATCCGTTGCGACAGCGCCGGGGCGAGGGAGTGTTTCGTCGACACGCGGCACGAGTGGGGCGAGGCAGAGAGGCAGTGGTAAGGGGAAGGGAAGTCAACGGTATTGACAGCTTCGTTCCCCTTCCAGTGCTTCGACGACGCCTTATGTTGTTTGTGCTTAGTGTTCTGACGTTTTTGTATATTGTTTAGGATGATGTACATATAGTTAGGTTTTAGGGACTTCGGACCAGTTCATGGACTTCAGCATGCAGGTAGACTGGGTAGTGTCGTCGACAGTGTTTGTTTGTTTCGTTTTTCGGTTTATGTACGGCATTTTCATATTGTTTTTTAGTTATTGGGTTTTTGTTAGAGGTTGGACTTCATTCTA